AAAAAAAAAAAAAAAAAAAAAAGAAGGATTTTATTATAAACTGAAAACCAGGGTGCCTTCTCTGTGTTTCTTTCTTCCCTTGACATGGTAGCGTAGGAAGTTTCATGTTTCAGATGCCCTGGCTAAAGATGAAAAAGGGATGGCTGGTTTGTACTAGACTTTGTGTGAGCAAGATATGCATTTTTATTTTGTAAACCATTGAGATTTCAAGGTTTATTTGTTTTAGCAGCAGAACATATTCTATCCTGATCAATACCTATATATTGTTTCTATATGTTGAATGCCTACTCTGTGCCGGGCCCTGAGCTAGGTGCTTATTTATATTGCCTCATTTTACCCTCACAATGATCCTGAAAAATAATAATGTATTGTGAATATCCCTATTTTACAGGTAAGGACAGTGAGGCTCAGGGAGATCAAGTGACTTGCCCAACTTCTGTGGTAGAGCTGAGATTTGAACTAGCATGTATTGCTCTCAAAACAGGGATCTTCACTGCTATTTGTAGAGTCTTTAATCCAGTGCTTCTTAAAGTATAATGCACACTCAAATTTACCTGCAGATTCTGATTCAGTAGGTCTGGAGCAGGGTTTGAAAACGCATTTCTAACAAGCTCCGAAGTGATGCCAATATTGCTGGTCCATAGCCTACACTTTAATTACAAGAGTTTAAGTTCTCTTGTTTATTGGTTGAGTACTTAGCCATCCAACACCCACATCATTTTAAATTGGAATTATCACTCAAAAGATGAAGGCAGTCTGGGAGTATCCCAGCAGGCAGGGAGTGAGCATGATGAGGTTTAGAGAGGTCATGCAGAATGTCCCTATCTGATACCTACTTTGGGTGGATGGCTTGTGCTCTTGGGGTTGACTGGGAACCTTGGAGTCTTGGATGACATAGGCCTCTTGACAGTCCCTGCAGCATAAACAGAAGATCTTCGAGATCAGGCTTTGGTGGGCTGCTGTTGGAGGTAAAGAAATGAGGGGCATGGTTTCTGATCTGAATTCCAGATGCCCATTGGAAATTGACTGTGGTGGGGTATCATTGGGACAGCCTCTCCCAAGGTATTAATACTCCTCCCCTCTCCCGAATCTTCCGTAGCTTCCCTTGGCCAGCAGATCCAGGCCCTTCTGCCTAGGCCATTTTTCCTATTCTGTACAAAGTTTTCTTACCCATGGAAAGGAGTGGAAACATCTACTCTGCCAGCTTTGTTTGCAGGGGTGCCTTGGTGAATCAGCCAATCTTGAGTTTGAGCCCAATTCACTGGGCTGGGCTGTTTCCTAAATAAACATAAGACTGTGGCTGAAAAATGCTCATCCTTCACCTATGTTCACACTCCAGGTAGGATCTGATGACAGGAAAATCCCACCTCATGCAGACACGCATGTAAACATGCTGAGGTTTCAGGTAGCTCTGTATCCTACCCCACTCATAGGTTCATGTTCTTGGTAGATTTCTTACCCTTTCTGAACTTCACTTTCATCATGTGAAAAATGAGAATAGCAGTGTCTACTTTGCCAGGGTAAAGAATCAAATATAGGAAAACTAATCCCTGTGGTTCTAGGTATACAATAAGTGCTCAATCAATGGTCATTCCATTTCTCTCCCTTCTCTTCATGTAACTCACTGGCTTCAAATTATCCCAGCTTGTCCAGGTTCTATGGTAAGGAAGCATATAGACTTGTAGGTTTAAATTCTGGTTTTGCCACTGATTTACTGGAGGGCTTGGGTAGGTCTATGTTTCTTTCTGTGTCTCAGGCTCCTCACCAGGAATAAGAAGTTAGGCTAGATTATCCCTTCAAGGATCTTTCTAGTTTTGAAGGTCCAGGATTATAAGGCCTTGCTTTAGTCCCAAATTCATTTATTTGTATATCAACTTTTCCAAACCTCTGTATACATTCTGTTCTCACTCTCCTTCTTGTGCCAAAACCCCCCTTTAAAAGGAAATTCCTATCATGGTATTGGTTAGGCTTGCCTCACAATACCTAATTCACTTCGCTTTGTGAGCTTTGCCTTCACTATAGCCACTTGAGTCTCACTTTCTCTACTGCTATACCCTGGCCTGAGCCACCATCATCTCTTCCCTGAATTATTGCAATAGCCTCCTAGCTGGTCTCCTTATTTCTCTTACCCTAGCTTCCTTCATAATTAATAAAAAAGCTGGGGTAGTTCTGTTAAAATGTATCATGTCACCCTTCAGCTCAAAAATTCCAGGGATTGGAAAAAATGGGTATAGTAGATGGAGAGATATAGTATGGAAGGAAGAACTGGAAACACAAATAGAAATTCAGTTCTTTTTTCATTTTTTTTTTTTTTGAGAGGGAGTCTCACTCTGTCACCTAGGCTGGAGTGCAGTGGTGCGATCTCGGCTCACTGCAACCTCCGCCTTCTGGGTTCAAGTGATTCTCCTCCCTCAGTCTCCTGAGTAGCTGGGACTACAGGCATGTGCTACCACACCTGGCTAATTTCTGTATTTGTAGTAGAGACGGGGTTTCACTATGTTGGCCAGGCTGGTCTTGAACTCCTGACCTTGTGGTCCACCTGCCTCAGCCTCCCAAAGTGCTGGCATTACAGGCATGAGCCACTGCGTCCGGCCAAAATTCTAATTCTATAAAAACCAGTAGCTGAAGAAAATAAGTATTGGGTAGGGTTAACAACAGATTGGACAAAGTAAAAGTAATGATCAGTAAACTTGCAAAAAGTTCAATAGAAATGATCCAAACTGAAGCAGAGAAAGAAAAAAAGATTTAAAAAGGATGAAGAGTACACCACTGACCCGAGGGAAGCTATCAGGCTGTCAAACATACACGTGTGACTGGACTCTCAGAAGGACCAAGGGCAGAAAAAATATTTGAAGCAATCGTGGCTGAAAATTTACCAAATTTGATGGAAAGCATCAGCATAAGTACTCAGTGGGCACCAAACATGAAAAACAAAAAGAAAATCATACCTAAGCTCATTTTAGTCAAATGGCTAAAAATGAAACTAAAGAACAGGATCTTAAAACAACTGGAATAAATAAGGATGAAAAAAAGAAACTGTAAACCTTTTACTTCATATTCCATGAAAATATCCTTCAATAATTAAGGCAACATGAAGATGCTGTAAGATAAACAAAAATAGAATTTGTCTTTAGAAGACCCAGGCTGTAAAAAATATTAAAAGATCGAAGGAAAATGATACCAGATGGAAATTCACATTTACAGAAAGGGATGAATAGGATAAGAAATGGCAAATGGTGGTAAATGTAAATTTTTTTTTTTTTTTTGAGACAAAGTTTCACTCTGTCACCCAGGCTGGAGTACAGTGGCGTGATCACAGCTCACTGGAGCCTCAAACTCCTGGGCTCACGTGATCCTCCTGCTTCAGCCTCCCCAGTAGCTGGGACTACAGGCACGCGCCACCACGCCTGGCTAATTTTTGTATTTTTTGTAGATTCAGGGTCTCCCTATGTAGCCCAGGCTGGTCTTGAACTCCTGGGCTCAAGTGATCCTCTCACCTTGGCCTCAAAAAGTGCTGGGATTGCAGGAATGAACCACTGCACCTAGCCAAAAATATTTTTTTCTCTTAGTCTTTCTTTTCTCCAAAATTGTTCAGTGGTTTTGCATATTACTCAGAAGAAAAACCAAAGTTCTCACCTGGGTCTTAAGATATTCTGTAATCTAATCATCCTTCTTCCCTCCTCCTCCTGCCTACCCACAACCTTTATCACCAACTCTGTCTTTTAATTCCTTCAATTCCCTAATTCCATTTGCCCCCTTGCTGAGTTTTAAAGCATAGCAAGCTCTCAACTCAGAAATTTGTGCTTGTTTTACTCTCTGCCTGGAATGAAGTTCTCTTAGATAATAACATTCTGTCATTACCTTCAAGTGTTTGCTTCAATGTTACCTTTTCTATTGAGACTTTCTCTGTCCATTGTATTTAATATTATACCCCCTTGTACTTCATAATCTTTTCCTCACTTCTTTTCAGACCCTTCCTTCCTTCCTTCTTTTTGTCCTCCCTTCCTTCTTTCCTTCCTCTCTTTCTTTCTTTTCTTTTCTTTCCTTTCTTCTTTTCTTCCTTCCTCTCTCCCT